GTATTATTCCCCAGGATTGACATGAAATTAGAGTGTTGTCAAATTCGGATGCGGCCGAAGGATGTTCACAAAATGACATTTCGAATTCATGAGGATCACTACAATTTTTTTATTAATAGAAAAAACTGCTAAATAATGAAGAACCTTAGAAACCATAAGACTTGATCCAACAACAATCTTGTTACTACCTTGAGAGCACATCTTTTTTGGGAGGGGAGTAATTTTAGGACGGCGTCTAAGGGCAATTTAGTACTTATTAACCTAAGTGTAATTTAGTCATTTATTATTTATCATTGTTTAGTATAAATAGGGCTAATATGTTTTATCTTATGATTATGCATGAGAATGACTCTGGTATCTTCGAGTTAGGGTTCGCGAGAGATTTCCTACCTATGAATAGTAGGATTTGGGTGAGATTGCCTATCTCTCAAATTGACGTAATTATTTTTTGTATTCGCCTTAGAGTTTGATGTTCCTGCAATAAAATATTTTTTGCTTGTGTGTAAATATGTGCATGTTCCTATCAAATTCGTATCAAAGATAGGGCAATTTGTTATTTATTAGCCTAAGGGCAATTTAGTCATCTTTCATTAATAATTGTCAAGAATAAATATAGCTAATATGTTTAGGGTTAAAGTTATGCATGTGATTGGGTCTTTTATTCTAGGGTTAGGATTTGAAAGAGATTTCCTAACTCTTGAATTGCAGGATTTGAGAGAGATTGCCTTCCTCTCGAAGTTTAAGTGCTTATCATTATATCCCTCTCGAGTGTTTGATATTCTTGCAATAAAATATTATTTGCCCAAATTATTGTGTGAAATTCTGTGTCGATTCCTGTCAGATTCATACCAGAGCATTTGGCCCTGGGAAACAAAGAAGGATTGGGCTTGTCGTAGTTTCTATCTAAGAGCTAGAGCTTCGCAAAGAAGCAATTGCAGGAAGGATTGCCACATACAGAGTAAGCAGTCGTGATTTCAGGAAGCAGCATATGGGATCAAGGCAATCTAAGCCATTCTCCTTTGAGCCATGATCGTGTCAGAAGGGGACAGAATCGCCTTTCTCCTTCAATTGTCTTGTGGCGTATAGTGACCTTAGATCGCTACAGAGTTCAAACTTCGACAGGATCGCGACTTTTCCTCTTTCTTTCGAGAATCTCAGATGCGACGAGCTGAGAAGCTAGCAACGACAATTTGACTTTTGATTCTTAAGGAATGTCATAAAGGGATTCATCAAAGAAACGAGGTCGCGGCTCACACCCTCAAGCCTTAATCTCGATAGTGGCAATTTTTGAGGATAAACTAGTAATGACAGGTTCACAGGATACATAAGCACTCTTTTATGAATTAACATAGACATATAGTTGGTTGGACCGTGTACCTTGGTGACAAACCCGATATAGTCGCAATTTGAGCTAGCTGGAAGCCAACTTACAAATTGCAGCATTCAAGAGTTCCATTTTTATGATCGAAAAATATCTTGAGTAATGGTAGCCAAAAAAAATTAATGCTCTGTAGAGGAAGGAAAAGAAATGGTGAGACAATTCAAATCCGAAGTGGAGAAGTGTATCTAGTCATGAAAGTGCAATTTGGGAGGACATCCACGACCCTGAAAGAAATGAAGATTATGGAGTTTCACACAAATCCACCTCCGACCGCCACGGGATCAAGAGAAGACATCAGGAACGGATGTCAATAGCAGCACAACCGGGAGGATTCACGCAACATCAGGACAATGTCACTACTTTAGGCTGATCGGAAGCTGCTTTATCCAATGAAGGAATCGTAAACAAATTTGAGTGGCAACATCGAGAGGGAATTGCATAAAATTGTGAGGATTGGGACAAGCAGCAGCAAGCAGAGCAAAACGGTGGGCAATTCAGGGTTGGAGAAGATCGCTTTGAAGAATTTTAGCCTAAAGCTGTGAACCACGGCCGGTGGAACTCTAGCGGTGGACTCCATCCAATTGCGCCTATGTTTTTTATTGCGGAACCTTCTAGAAAGAAGGCAACTCAGAAGTAATAATGGGAACAAGACGAGCAGAGAAGAGAGCGAAGTTTTTAAGGGACTGAGGTTCGAACACTGCAGAGTATTTAAGAGAGACAATATGGTGGTGCATCGCAATGACCCCAATTGGTGCAAGGCGTTAGTGGCAATGAAAACTATGATGAGAGTGATTCGGGACACATGGTTGAGATTCTAGATCAAGTTGCATATCATAGAAGAGACATGATATAGAGTTGGAAGAGATTCTAGGGATAGATAAGCTACTTGATGAGTTATTTGGGGCGGCAATATTCTCCAAAATTGACTTGATGTCAAGGTGCCATCAAATTTAGATGCGGTCAAAGGATGTGCACAAGACGATATTTCAAATTCATAAGGTCATTACAAATTTTTGATTAAATAAAAATGATTGTCAGATGACAAGCTGTGATAATGAACCGTGAAAACCATATGACTTGATCCAACAAAAATTTTTCCCAACTTGGGGACAATGTATCTTTTAGGGAAGGGAGTAATGTCATGATGGTACCTAAGGGCAACCTAGTCCTCATTAACCTAAGGGTAATTTAGTCATTTGTCATTTATTATTATTTAGAGCTAATATGTTTATAGTTAGGGTTCTACGTGAGATAGGGACTTGTATCTTAGGATTAGCGTTTGGGAGACATTTCCTATCTCTCGAATTCTATAATTTGTGAGAGATCGCCTACCTCCCAAATTGTAGATGCTTATCTTTGTATTTGTCTTGAGTATTTGATGCTCTTGCAAAAAAATATTATTTTTCCTATTTTCTATGTGGAAATATCTTAGTTCCTATCAATGGAGCACTAGTGGAGCGTTGCATTTAACCACACCAGCGCCTTTTTGCTACAGTAAACTTCCGAGCAAAAGAAGCATGAGTCTATGGAGACATGAGGGCCGACTAATGGGAGTGTCGGACTTATGGAAGGAGGGAATTCAAAATAGCACGCAGAAGGGAACCCAACCCCCATTTCATGGGCAGAATGAACTCTGATCTAGAGAATTAAAGAGGAAACTTGCATAAAAGGAAGTCGAAGAAGCTGATCTTTGAGAGGAAAGACGTACACTGGGTGGAGTGATATTTCGTAGTGAATGGGCTACATGAAGAGAAGTTCATGGTTGCAGTGTTATGTTTGTAGAGGAAAATCATAGCATTGTTTAAGTCTAGAGAGGCTAGATGATTGATCCGGTCGCGAGAGGAATTTAAGAACTATTTGTGGAATGTTTCCGAGCCATTTGAGAAGGGGACATAAATGAGCAATTCCTTACAATGAATAAAGGATTATCAGGGAGTATTAAAGAGAGATTAGAGCTCTTACCGAAAATATTGAAAGAAATTTCTAAAACAGTATGTGAGGGGAACTTCATTAAGGGTCTAAAGCCCGACAAACGTGTAACACTTTGTCCGCTAAGAGCGTGAAGCTTGAGAAAAATTATGGCATTAGCTCAGTTGGTTGAAGAACATAATGTAATGGAACGAGCCAATAAGAGCAACACGGGTGGAGCATCATATCGAAGTGCTACAACCACGACGATGTCAAAAGCTCAAATCGTGGAAATTCGGATTGAGGCTTTATAGGACATGAATCATGGGTAACGACCAGGTGCGACACTCAAACACTCGATTGAGACAAAGATTCAGGAGAAGCGAACCATACAGTTATCTTTTTCGTGTGATGAGAATTTACCTGAGGACACCATTACAGGTTCTCATAGTGTGTGACGAGGAGGCAGGGGATGAAGAAACAGAGAAGGTTGTGATGGAGGAGGAACACCTTTATTTTTTTTTAGATCAAGGACAATGTGTCTTTTTGATAGGGGAGTATTGTTACACCTGTGCCTAGCCTAAGAGTAATTTTATCTTCTACACGTCGAAGGGCGATTTAGTTTTTTGTCATTTATTATTATTTAGTATAAATAGGGCTAATATATTTAGGGTTAAGGGTTATGCATGAGATTATTTCTGGAGTTTTAGGTATAGGGTTTGTGAGAGAATTCCTACCCCTTAAATTGTAGGTATTGGAAGAGTTTGCCTAACTCTCGAATTGGAGGTGCATATCTTTATATTCATCTTGAGTGTCTGATGTTCTTACAATAACATATTATTTGCCTTAATTTCTGCCAAGAATCGTATCATAGTTCTAATAGAAAATGCTAATTATAGAGCGAACAACAAAGAAATAATGAAACAAGAAAAAAAACACAAGAAATATCAAAAAAAATAATTTAAAAAAAAAAGCCTTCAAAAAATGACTATTCTTCTCAAATTAAAAAAGTTTGTAGGGCATTATTACAGTATTAAAATAAGTATAACAAGAGTATTATGTCGATTGTACACTGCTTCATAAACATATGTTCCAATACTTAAACCAGGAGTAAATCAAGCAGATGCAACTAAGATCTACATATTGTCACAATCATCATTCACATAAATGGCAAAGTTTTATTCACACCTTTGCATTGAAATCAAGTTAAACAGTCAAACTATGAAGCATGCAAGTTTTAGTCAACATGTCTCCTTGGTCAATGTCATAGTATCGATGATATATGAAGACAAAATCAGCGAATGTTAAAAGTTCATCATTCACAATTATAAACACACAAATAATGGAACATCAAAGCACGTTCGATGTAATTGTCATGAACCCTGACTTTGAACAATTAAAAAGGTCTTAAACCAATAGGGGTTACTAAATTTGCACATTCGGTCTTAATTTTTTCTAGTCTACGACTTTGAAATGCTAGAAAGACGTGCAAAATAAATAGCCTACAAATGCATGTCCATTCCTGTGCTCTTTACAGATAAGTGTCACACATCCTACACTGCTAATGGCGAACAACCATGTAGACCCAAGTCCAGTCCTAACATCCATAAAAAAAGTCTATAATTGCATGCAAGGACCGACAATTTAACAAATTTAAAATTTAAAAGCTAATATCTCTACAAAAAACTAACAAAAGACGTAAATTCATCACCTATCAGCAAGAACAATAGGTAGTAATCTCACTAAAAATTGCATCCGCAACCATATGGAAGCTTTCAGTGATGTTGCCGATGGTGGAGGGCTATCAGCTGCTGTTATAGCTCGCCTACCTAACCCAGGGCTTCCACCTCGCAAACCTTTGCGACTACTACCTTTGTTCGAAGACAATTCAACCCCTGAAGGGCCTAAACCAGGCTGCTTACTACCACCACGAGTGAAAACATTTATTTGCTGATCAATCATATTCATCTGTTTTATCAACTCAACAGCAAATGAATTGCATAGATCCGCAGAACTCCTGTCTAAACATGGAAGTATTAATTCAGCGATTGCTTTCTCAATTACATACTGCTGACTAGAAGTGATGTTGTCCGCATCAACTGTGGGAAAGTTGATCTTACCGGACCTTTTAGCATCACTGGCATCATCAACCACTTCCCCTTCTTCAATGGTAACCATATCCAATTTGTTCTTTTCACCTCTATTTGAAGCAATATCTGCCATGAGGTTTGGCCACCCCCATGGTTTCCAAAAAAGGGTTTTTATTGAGAGGCACTTCCTCTGAGCAACTGAAACAAGCTGCTGTCTGATGGATTTGCGTCCTGACAAGACATCACTACCAGCTAAAATCCATTTGATACCCATCACGAGTGACTCCTCCAGTGACCTCCCAAGGAGATGGACAATTTCAGCATAAAGAGGAGCTGCATCAGGTCTGACAAGAATTCTAGTCAGGATAATTTCAGACAAAAACTTGTCACTTTCAGAAACAGCAAAATTGTCAGCATTTGGTGACACTGATCTAATGGTCTCAACAAGAGACATGTCCTTCATGTCAATTTTCTCAAGAAGAGCTTTTTCATTCAAAAGAAGTCTCAGCTCAACCCACTGCCAATGAAATTTTGCGGGTTGAAGGGTATCTAAAACATGCACAAGCTGACTCAAAAGGTTCTGCTCCATCTCAGAAAATGTCATTGGTTCAACAGACTCGGAAATCAAAGAGCCATCCTCCTGAATCAAAGTATTGAGAGGCATTTTACAGTCAATGAGAGCATTTAGAAAAAGTCTTGCTCTGAGAGGGACAAATGCCCTTGTCTTCAACTGTTTATCCGGATTAAGTAGCTCAAGCATTGCAGCAAACTCAGAATCACCTACATCATTTGCTAAAAGATCATAAAAAGCATGAGTGTTCTGGAAACATAAATCACGAAATGGCTGGTGCCGGATAACTTCAGTAACAGTCAAAGATAGGAGGTGATAGAGGTGAATGTCTTCACGAGTTGCAATGCTACTGTTCAGAACATAGGGTCTCCAAATAACCATAGCAAATATTGAATATACAGGAATAAGAACCAAATTTAGAGGGAGCATTCGTTGCATCCTAGAGAGAGCAATTATGTATGACTCACCAAGGATTTCTAAGACTAATCCATCACAAATTGCTTCCGTGTTCCCTACAAGTAGACGAAACCAATGTGCAAGAACCTCAACACTAGGCTCCAATTTGAAATTGCCAAAAGAGCGGGATATCCCCCCATTTGAACTAGATTTGGCACTTCTAATGAATTGAAGAACATTCAGCCCCTCTTTCAATTTAAAAGCTGTGACCATCCTTTCCAAGTTAACAGCCCCATGCACAATAGCCCCAAGAACAAGTGCAGATATAGCAGCGGTAGCCTTTGCAACCTTTAAACCCACAACATTAGCAGAATTGTTCAAAATCTCATTTGAATGGTTTGGACTAATATCATGAGCTTCAGGAGACTGTTGATATGGATTTCGATGAGTTTTTACAGAAGATAATGATCCTGAAATGGCCACAGAAGCTTCAACAGCCAAAGCTATCTCAAATACACGACCGAGACGTTCTCCAAGAGCTTCTTTAAGTAAACAAAGTGAAATTATATGAATGTATAAAATATAACGAGCACAATTCAATGATGTAGAAGAGGATGAAAGATTTTGGTGGCTGCAGTTTATAAAATCCGGTACTTTGACTACGGATGGGCCTAAATTGCCAACAATTGATGAAACAGCAGAAGCCACTATAGAAGGATCACCTTCAAGAGCTGCACCACCATTTTGCCTAATACAATCATTAAGTCCAGTAACAATCTCTTGTGCCACTTGACAAGCATCATCCCACTTTTCAGTGGAGTTTTTAAAATTAGCATTAGCTGTAGTAAAAGGCTTTCTCTCCTTTCCATAAAAGTAGTGCATAGCTTCCTCAACATGCCTTTGCACTATTTCTTTCATGCTTGATCCAGTTCGAGAAACCCTCACAGTAATCTTTTGGCGGATATAATCATCAAAATCACTGATTCCTCCAGAAACTCCAGCAGAGAAACCAATATCTCCATCAAGCATGCGACCAGTGTCAAGTTCTGTTAGGAATCTCTGATCACAAGTAGATTTGAAATTTTTTTCCCATCTAATAACACTAGAGACGTCTCTGTATTTCTTCAGCAAATTTCTAATGTATGCAAAAGCCGGACAGAAAGATCTTCCACTAGGTGTCAGAGTAGCCATAGTTCGATGCATTGCTGCATTTAAGAGTTCAGGCAACAAATCAGTTGCCACAATCACATTCTCATACCTGCATCCATTCATGCAAGTTTACGGAAACAAATACTTCAGAGATAAAATTGATGGAGACAAGCTGAAATCTTATGAAACATTTGTAATAAAATAAAACCCAACCCTACCAATCAACAAAACTGAACCCAAAACATAATTAGGAAATAAAGCTCTTGCAACTATGTTATTCACGCATCAATAGATAACTAAACTTATCGGATTTATAAAATAGCTTTCAAACAGGAAATAAACATAAATAATAAAAACAAGCAGCCCCTCTAAATACAAGAAGCCAATTTGATGTCATGGAAGAACCTTCCTCAAAAATGCTTCCTTCCCCAGTGTACGGGTAATAAATGATCTTTGTTGGCCTTCAGTTGCAAAAAGAATCATCTAAGCCAGCTCACTAGTCCAAAAATTCTGCACATATATCTCAGTATTGTAGCCAGCAAACCTCAACCAGGAAAACCAAAATAGGTTTGTTCCTTGACCTACGCACCTCCTCATACTTATCATGCTACTTCCCAAGGTGTTTAATTTCTATTGCTCCCATGGGCTTTCTTACACTTTGAGGTTCGACCTTTCCAACGCAGAAATGCCCACTCTAATTTCTGCATGAAAATTTTACTCCCTTTTAATATTTAACATAAACGAACTCGTGTGTTTCTTAAAGGTACACATAAGACATCTTAAAGTCCTATAATACTGGTTTTAAATGTTTAGTATCTTCCATTGCTCTTTGTTGTTAATATTTCATTAAATACTGTAAATCCTTTTATAATTTTATGTGGTACATAGGCTGCTAAAAGTATTTTATAATACCTTTTGTAAAAAAAGAAGAGGTGGCTAAGAAGGCCTTGGATTGTTTGATCTTTAAAAGGGTGTTTATAAACAGACTTACATAAAAAGAAAAATAAATAACTAGCTAGGAATAGAAAACTCAAAAAAAAAGTCACCAATCATCCCGCCATATGATCTATTTAGGGAATGAATGCCGAGTGATATCAAGAATGCAATTTGTGGGTTGTTTCTTTCCTATTTTGTACATAAATCTACGAGAAGTATTATTTTTGTATCCAATGAATTTGCGGTCTCTAATCTTCCTTATCTACACTCCCTCGCCGCCCTCTATGATCCAATGGCCCTTCAGAACTCCCCCCTCAAACTAGATGGTTGAAATCTACTATTTCAAATTTTCTTGCAAAATTCTTATGTGGAGTTGTTGGGTCCTTTAGCAAATATACCTTCCTGTTGAGACAAATGGAATACAAATCAATCGATTTTTTATTTTTATTTTATAGAGTGGCTATCCACTTCGACATATATAGCATGATCATATTATACAAGATTGTGAGAAATGTTGATGACAAATTTATTATCATGGTGTATCTTTATAGTTTCCGACTTTTTGATAACCCAAAATGATTTTAATTTATAAAAATTCGCAAATGCTATGAGCAATTACTCTAATTCAAATTCAATGTTGGACTTGAAAAAATAGGTTCTTTTTGCTTCTTCATGTTATAAAGTTTTCTCCTCTATATGTACAATATCCTGAAGTGGATCTCTTATCCACGGATGATCTCACATAGTCAATATCAATATGATCCTCAAGCTAAAAGGAATCATAATTTTTTGTAAATAATTTCTTTCCAAGACTAGATTTAAGATATTAAAGTACTCTATAAGCAACTTGAAAGTAAGCTTAAGATTCTTTGAATTTTTGCATAAAGTGACGTATGAGACTTACTAAGAAAGCAATGAATATGCATGTGATGGATAAATTAAATTCATAACAATCTTTGATATTGTTGATGTCCACTTTTATTTCTTCATCTATGTCAAGTTTGTGGCCTAACTCGATTAGATTTTTTCAAAGTTTGCAATCAATCGTCTTTTCCCCTTAATAGAATCTTAACACATTTTTATTGAGAGATTTTGAGCAACTTATATACCCAAGAAGTATTTGAGTTTACCCAATTCCTTAATTTTAAATACAAAAAGTTTTTTCTTAGCTGGTTCACTTCCTTCACTATCATCACTTCTAACAATTATATTATTAATATATTAATGAGAACTGTAATTTTTTTATCAATAGACTTTTCTTATGAAGAGGGTGCAATCCTCTTGATTTTTTTTTGTACCCCATGCATTCATGATCTTGTTTGTACATTGTCCTATTCATGATTTTTAAAAATATGTCAAACCAAAATTTTTGGGACTTTTTTAAACCATACAATGTCTTTCTTTAATATACACAACCTAATTTTTTTAGAAAGAGCCACCGAGTCATGGTTAAGAATTTATAACAAATTCCTCTTCAACGTCCTCATGAATAAAAACATTATTCATATTATATTGTTGTGTGGACCATGCAAAACTAAAATGTAAATTGTATTCATTTTTTTGCAACAGAATAAAATAATTTTTTATACTCATATGATTGAGTAGATCCATTGACAACTAGTCATATTTTTTGTCATTCTAGATTTCCTTCTACTCCTTATTTAAATGAAAAGGTCCATTAGTATCCTACAATATTTTTATAGTGGCGAATGTCTATTGATGGGTTGATCATCGTTACTTTATGATGTTTCCGAGCCTTACGATTTTGACTCGACTTATTCCTCCTTGTATAGACCTTAAGCGGCACGATGATTGTTGTTTGCATGGTTGAAATGCCAAGGTCGAAGAGAATAACTTCAACAAACTTATCTTCTAGGTGGTTGTTCTCCAACAGAAAATAAATTTGATTGAAAAAATTTATTTTTCATCCAAAATAGCATCTTTGAAGTTAAAAATTATTCGATGGTTGCATGATTACACTTCTATCATTTTAAGTGATGAAATATTCAACAAAGACACATTTGAGTACTCTAGAATCAATGCACCAAATATTATTGGGAGAAATATTTTAGAACTATTTTATAGAAAAATTTCATAAATTAGGTCAAGTGGATTTTTGAAGTTGATTATTCTTTAAAGGATTCTATGGATTAGACATGTGAAAGAGCTACCTCTCATTAATATCATTTTGAAACTTGGGTTGGAAAAGAAGAATATTTGAAGATTCCAAAAGATGTTATCTTCTTTCCTTTAATCACCCAATTTATCAGATATCATTATAAGAGGATTGGTTGAAGAGACATTCTTTAATAAAAGAGCGACTAAAAGCTGATTAAAATAATCATAAGTATTATATGTGCAAAATATCATGATGTTAGCATTGAAGTGGTTTTTTATCATAGCAATAAAAATAGGGAGAATAAAGTTGACATCAAATTTTCATTTGATAATATATATCTATATCATTCAAGTAAAATCATCAACAAAAGTGATGAATATTTTAGATCAAGAAATATTAGGAATTTTTAAATGTCCCCAAATAACAAAGTAAATTAACATATAAGGATTAGAGGATCTATCAGAAAAGAAATAAGAAGTTTTGCAATTCACAAGGCTATCAATGAAATTCTTAAATGTTAATATTCACAAAGAGAATGAAATGTTTAGTGTATAATTTTGAAAAAGGGATATTCTAAGCTGTGATGTTGGTCCAAAATAGTTTCTATATTAAGAGTAGAGAAGAAATAACTCAAATGATTTCTTTCATCAAGATTATATTGTTCATCCTTTCCACGAGCTTTCCCACTTGCCTTCTCTATAGTGAGGATCTAAATACACAATAATTAATGAAAAAAATTACCTTGTAGTTAAATTGTTTAGTAATTTTATCTATTGATAAAAGATTTATTGTAAGTTGAGAGGCATGAAGAGCATTATTGAGAGTAAATGTTAGAAAAATAAAAATATCCTCGTAACCTAATATTTTTGTTAGGGAACCATCAGCTACAATTCCATTGCTAGGATAGGGTTTATAGATTTGAAAAATGAATTGGCACATTTATCATAGGAATAGTGAACTCCCAAATCAAGAATCCAAGTAAAAGAACTATTTGAGACAATAAAATAAAAACAAAAAAGTTAAAATTCATATCTAGAGAGTTAAAAAAAGTTTTTTAAATTAAGCCCTTCGAATTCCATAACTCATGCTTTTCCTTTTCAGTGACAACTGTTTTTACAATAGATTTGGAATTTTCCTTGAAATTTTCAATGTTTTTCAATGTTTTATCCTCTTCTTTGTAGTAACTTCACCAGAGAGTACCTTTGAGATAAGTTCTGTCATTATTTTATTAAAACATTAGTAAACACTAGTATTTTTTTTAGGTTTGGAGGTTGTTATGGCTGGTCCTTGAGGCATAAAAATAACGACATTATCGTCATTTTTTCCTTCTTAATCTCGCACGAGTGAGAAAATTGCATTGGTAAGTTCTGTATGCTTAAAATTTGAAAAAAAAAATTTTACCTCATTCAATATCAAATCCCACAAGAAACTCATATCTCTTTCTACAAATTATTTGAAAATCATCTCATCCTTGCTAAACATGATCATAGGGCCTTAAAAATAATCTAATTCAAGCTCTTGATAATAATCTAATTGAAGCTTATTTTATTAAAATTTTAATAGATGATAGTAACATCTTGTTGATTTTTTTAGCATATAAGTTGAAGAGCATCCCAAACATGTTTTGCCATTATGATGAACTTATATGATCCATTAACTTTAGGCACTATGTTTCTTGATAATATCATGGTCATGAATATGCTTTCAATCCAAAGAGCAAAGTTTGAGGCACTATGTTCTAGAGATAAATCCAAAAGATGATGGATTTTTCACCTACTAGAAACGTTTTCATAATTTGAGACTACTTAAGGCAATTTCATCCATTCAATCAATGTGAGGCACATATCCCCTAAAATTCTCCTTTAGTTTATTTCCATAATAAATGACTCCTTATAAGGGAAACAAATAAACCAAACATGGCGAAGAGAAGAATATATGATTAGAACAAAGGACCCTTATAATAATTTGATACCATGTAGAAAAGAAATATGGCTAAAAAAGCCTTCAACTGTTCAAACTTAAAAATATATTTACATACCAAATTACAAATACAGTAACAAACACAGAAAATCACCCCTAGTTATCCCATTATTTGATCTAATTAAGGATTGTCAATTCATAGCAAAAGAGCAATCCACGAGCCCTTTTTCTCTTTCTTATAATTAAATTTGTGGTAAAATTATTTCCTCGTAAAAAATAAATTTGTGGGCATTTATTTTTCCTTGCCTAGTGTTAGCAGCCCTGCTTAACTCAATGACCCTTCAACATCATATAGTTTTTTTTCTTAGTTTTAAAGTTTTGGGTGTCTGGTAATGGTTAAATGTAGGCTTAAGTTATTGTACCTCAAAGTAAGAAATCAATTTGTGCTTCTCAATTATCCATGCAGACAAAACAACACTTCAGCTATTTTTAGACGTACACCAACATTGATTTATATATTGCAAGAATAAGCTTATCAAATTAGAAGTCAATCCTCAATCAAAAGCCAACAAATCAATTACATCACAATTCTCATAATAACATGCAAAACAAAAACATCAATACAACTATCTAAAATAGTAAAACTACTAGCTGATCAACTAGGTTGAGCTCGTTAATTACCCCAAAAAGAATAACATACTCTCATTGCCAACTCACTTCTAATCATACTCACCAACAACTCATTCAAGATAATATTGCTTCTAATCATAAAGCTCTAACTATATACACAATCATCATCTGTTACACATAAGATATAGTACCAAACTCAACAATACGATCAACAAACTCTCTATAGCTCACAAGGTGCTCTTAGTGGACATTTACAGGAGGGTGTACATTGGTGTATGCTTTTCACTGCTTGTGGAAAAGACTAGAGAAAGGGTTCATGAATAACTTGAATTATGGAGGTCTATATTTAAATTTAAAGGCGTTTGTTTTGAGTAAATCTAAAATTGAATACATGGAATGTAATTTTAGTAGTAGTACCTCTAGTCGTAGACTTGTAAATATGGGTTATCGAATCATTAAAAGGTGTGAATGTTTTAGACATCTTTGGTTTCTTTGTTCAAAGTGATGGTGATATAGATGGGGATGTTATTAGTAGAATTCAAGTTGGTTGGTTGAAGTGGAGGAGTGCATCAGCCCATTGTGTGATAGAAAAGTTCCGCTAAGATTTAAAGGGAATTTTTATAAGATGGTGGGAACTGCAACGCTTTATGGCGCAGAAAGTTGGCCTTTAAAAGAGAAGCAAAAAAGCAAAGTTAAGTGTTGCTAAGATGAGAATGCTTAGGTGTAGCTCTAGTGTCAAACAAGATTAGAGAGTCGTCTTAGATGGTTTGGTCACTTTAAAAGCCAACCATCTAATTATCCGGTTAAGAGAATGGATGTTTTATATTCTAATTTTGTTAATAAAAGTAGATGTATGCCTAAAAAGACTTCGGTACATTGTATAAAAAATTATCTTAATCTATTAGAACTAATTAATCTATTAGAACTAGAACTAAATGAAAATATGACACTCAATATGACAGTGGAGAAAAAGAATTCATGTAGCCGACACCACTTTTTGGTATAAAGGCTTGTTGTTGTTGTTGAGTTATATAGCTCACAATGTGGCAATAGTCAATCTATTGTTGATTACATTGAGCAAGGGGCTGATGGCTAGGCAAAAATGGTTGATATGAACAATGAGGTATCCAATAAAGCCTGGAGTTTTTTGTAGAAAGAGTTAAACAATTACAAGCTCTACAAAGGAAGAAAACCTTGTATGCCAAACACATGTGATGGTGGGTGAAAGTACAATTTTCTAATAGCCTAACAAACATGCAAGTAACATTAACCTTCAGCCAAAAGAGTCACTTGTCTCCCACACAAAAATTTAACTCTCCTTACTCGTCATCACTTCTTAAAGATCCCAAATACTTCGCTGTAGTTGGACAGTAATATCCATTAGTAAAACATACGAGTATATTTTCAAACCATTTTATGTCAACACAAATGCCAAATAAGTAACCACAGGTCTTACATGAAAATTTTATTGAAATCACAACTGACCAATATCTTTGATAAAATATTATTGATATTATAGCAATTTTGAATAGTTGCTAAAATGGGAGAAGTATCAGAAAGTTAATGGTCGCATTCAATGAATAAGATGAACATATATGCAGGACTAAACTCAAGGCTCTATAACTTTGACTTGCAAAAAGAATGCAATGAATCTAGACATAATAGAATAGTTCCGTATTAAGAAGGATTGAAATATGAACAGAATATGATGCAGGTGCGCCAATAACGGCGCAGGCATGCCATAGAGGGAGTCGTAGGCTTCTCCCATGATGTCATTTGTCCTAACCCGGGAGGGTCGATCGGCTTTCCCACGATGGATTGGCGACTCTTTTCTATATGAGGATACAATCCTAGTTATCTAGTGCTTATATATGTTACTCTGGTATTTTAGGTTTTCAGTTTTTCGTGTTTACTGTCAGGACAGCCGCCGGCATCTAGATTTTTTCTTATAAGGTTGTATCCGACGCGAGTGGCGTTCCGATTGTATCTCATCTAAGATAGTGATTATCCTCAACCTTTCCACTACTCCGCAACCTTCCATCTGCCCCGCCATCACCATATTCGCTACAACCACCCGCGAAACAACCTCCTCGTTGTTTTGTTGTAGCCGCCTACCACCTAGCTCCCTCCCACCTTGCTTCCATCCCTCACCACAGCCTTTCAGCACCCAAGCAACCCTTCTAATACCACTTATTTGTTGTCCCAGTCCCTCGGAATCCCATCCCCCGCCATTGTTCCAACCTTACCGAACAAGTTTCTTGCCACCTAAGCACTATCCCAGCCACGTACAACCTCCCCACCGCAGTCCACAGCACCCCCCACCTCCCTACCGCCGAGCAACACCCGTTTCATCTTTCCGGCGACACCCACGGTCAACTCCAAGCCTCTTACACCGGTCACCACTCTTGTGATACGCTTTAGTTGAGTTTATTTCTGCCTACAGTTATATTACCCTTTAAAGAGCGTTTAATTGTAACCATATTTGCTTTTAAGTAATAATATTTGCTTTCTCTATTGTGGTTTGGGTTAAATCCGATATCAAAATAATGTCATTAAGAAAACTCGTAAATATTAACAAGAGTTAATAATGAAAGAGTGAGAGAGAATGCATCATCATCCATAAGAACAAAAAAACAGAAGAATAAGCCAAGAGGAACAAAATACCTTTGAAGGGCTGATATAAAAAATGCCTCCCCAACTTGACAAACATGATTTTCCCTACCTTTTGTTAGCATCACAACATTTCTCCCAACATGACCATTATTGTTTTGCCCGCAGAAAGTCTTCGTTAAGAGCCATAAAAGAAGCTTGACAGCCAATATTAAGTCTGAAGAAATATCTAAAATATACAAGATGGTAGATAATTCCTCCTCCCCTAGTTTCCATCGTACTGTGTTCCTTTCTTCAAGTGGCGTTGAAAAGGAACCATTACCATTGCTTGGTTTGGAAACAGTCTTTTCACTTCCATCAACCAGTTGTTTGATTGATGTTGAAAGCCATATAGAGATTGACCTTTTCTCAAGTAACCTAAGTTGTTTTATAGTCTTCCCAATATCACTAAGATTAATACTCTTCAACCTGAAAGCTTCCTTGGAAACTTTGCCATCAACACCAGATCTGTGGTGTGGGCAGCTCATCTTGTTATCACACACATGACTAGTTGAAGCACCCTCGCTACTCTCGATCCTAGCTGCTGCTAACTGTGAAAGGCTCATTTTTCGGACTGTCTTTTGCCTGCCTCTGGAAACATGTTTAGTCAGTTTATTAGCCGATTCAACCTTCATGGATTCTACGGATTTGGGTCCCTTTCTCACCCACCAAGTGTCTTCATCATCTGACTGATTTGAAGCAATAATCTGATGGGAAGAACTCCTTTCCTCTGTTAACTTCTGTCTTTTTGCTTCCCTACAATCCTCACAAGAAACTATCCCTTCAGATGAATCAAATCTGATACCAGATGATCCTAAAAGTCTCTTTTGGCTTCCAGGAGATTCATCGACTTGTGTTTCAATTTGTGCAGAGCAAGTATATGGAAAACGAAGTAAAGTTGAAATCAAAACCTTAAGCTCAGCAACTTGGTCCTTCACCTTAGCGTTGACAAATGGCCTAGATTGAAAGGCTATATTTGAGTTCCGGTTGGTCTCCAATAACATCATTGAGGAACCTTCCTTAGAAGCAAATGCTAGATCCTTTTGTCTCTGAAGGGAAAAAGGTCCATAACTGTCATGCTTGTTAGGCAGGTGACTAGAATGACCAAAAGATCCATGAAGAACAAGTTGACGCTCATTTGAGTAAACCTGAACAGCTGCATTCAGGAATTCAGCCTCTAACACTTCTGACTCTTCTAGGGCCTCAAACAAACAGGCACCAGGAAGCTGCTTCAAAATTCTATAATGTCTTTTTCTTCTTTCTAAATCAAATGAAGTTTCATTTCTGTCCATTATTCCACTGACTATTAGGTGCCTCACATAAGCAGGAGGATAAAATATGCCATTCCTAATAAGTTCCAAGATGAGAACTTGAAGATGCTTAAAGCCTCCACCCCTCCCAATTTCATGTTGATCTAGCCAACATACAATTATATCATGCAGTGGACCCGGACTTTCGAAAATATCCACACAATTCTTACCATGATTTGTGTTTTTGTTCTTAGGAATAGAATTTTCTAGAGAAGCCATACAAGAAAGATTTTCAGGACAAGAGACAGCCTTCCCTGTTGAACCCGATAAATTAGCATTTCTAGACTGCGGGGAAAAACAAACTTGCTCCATCTTCAGCTTTAACAAGAAAACTGCAGTATATACTTTTGAAAAATTTTTCACTCCAGTAACTTTATGATTCTCTGGAGCAGTTGTTCGATAATCCCTATATCCACATGTTGCCCACTCACAAATGAAAAAAACTGAACAAATAAAGGACAGATCAACATTCCCAATCCATTTTAGAGAAGATCGCAAAGATGGACTGACCTCCACCATCCATTTTTCTTCAACAGCCAAATCAAAGAAATCCTCAAAGACAGCATTATATGCTAACCTTGTATCCCCCAAATTATAAGCTTTATCCAAAAGCTGTACAATTTTGGCAGCACCTTGACCTTGTAATCCAGGATTTGCAGTATTTGCAAGATTAGATGCACGTTTTTGGATAGATGATGCAGCATATCCAAATGACAGATAACGAAGATGATCATCTTGTTTACCAATTTGAATGCAATCTATACCTTTAGTTACCTTAAAAGCTTTCCGTGCTGAAAATATATCAGGAACCACACATGGGGGCAAAGGAAAGCAATCCAATGCAACAAAAGTATCAGGTACAGCAAGTATCAAGTATCGAATTATCTCAACAACAGCATAGGAAAGGGATGACTTTTTTGAAGTTTCTATTATGGTAGAACCACCTACAGAGAGATCATTTATAGATCGAACAGCTATATCCACTAACCCACGAGTATAAGTTTGTGACAGGGCAATAATCTCAATGACCTCATAAACAATAGGCAACAACATCTCAAAAACATCAGTTGAATCCTTTTCCTGCTAGCATTGAATTGACAGGAATTAGAGCCATAGAGCCAAGGGAAGTACTGAAAGGCATTCTTATCAGGACAGGGAGAAAAGCATCACCTGAAGTTGATTAAGTACCCACTCAACCACAACAGATGGGAGTATTAGCCCTTCGGAGTAGCTCCAACGCAAAAGATGCACCATATACCACCACTTATATAGGGATGAAGGCTCCTCAACATCAGATGTTGTACCACCAGAGTCAATCTTTGGTGCTGAACGAGACAATACGCCTGTAGATGATTGATCTCTGCTAGAAACAGGAGCCCCAGATCCATCCTTGGTGAGATATTCATCCAAAAGTTGTTGCATATACTCAACAACATCCTTTGTCCACAATTCTGTGCGGTTAAAGTGAGCTTTATCTTGTGTGCCCGATGAAATGCTAGAGGCCGGCCGAATCTTTACTCGATAAAAATATATATAAAAATATACATTTTATATTCATAAAAAAAAAACATGGATCCTGAAGCAGATAGCAAAACTAGCTCAAACATATTTTAATGAAAAACTGCATACCTGGTTTAGATATGTCACTTTAATAAACCATGTTGCTCTTAGCAATGGAACATTATGACGAATAAGAACTTCAAAAAGTGACTTTCTTCTGTATCCATGTGGAACATAATCAGCTAAAGATCTCAGTCGTTTACCATGCGACGATAGGGCCTGCACAAAAAAAAGGGATAAATCAGCTCCCAAAGCCATAAACATTCATATAGCTTCAAGTTTGACAAGAAAACTATTATGGCTGAAAGAATACACATACGTGAATCAAGCCTCGTGAGTAAAAATTAGTGTCATTAAAAAACTAAATAAAAAAGATCAAAAAGTGCTAAATGGGATCTTATTAATGGCCAAAGGCTAAGGACTACAAGAACTACCATCAAAACTTCTATGAATAAACACAGAAATTTATGGAAATACAAAAAATGCCATCAATTATACTGCAGAGAACATCCAGGGTGATATGTTTTTCAGAATATTGTAGGAACTTAGAACTTTGGAGAGTGAAGTTAGTAAGGTCATCCATTTTATGGAGTTTTTTTTTTTTTTTTTTGCTGAATAGCACTCGTAACATCTCTGATTCCACAAAAATCCAATTAGTAAAACCAATAAAATAAATATTTATAATGCAAATATATCGCAGTGCAGAACTGTAAATAAGCGCACAGAACTGTAAATAAGCACGATAAACAGGGTGATATGTTTTTCAGAATATTGTAGGAACTTGGAACTTTGGAGAGTGAAGTTAGTAACCATTTTATGGAGTTTTTTCTTTTTTTTTTTTTTTTTTCTTCTTCTTTTTTTTTTTTTGCTGAATAGCACTCGTAACATCAAACTTAAGAAACTTGAGAATTTTGTTAGATTGGGTCATGAGCAGAACTGTAAATAAGCGCCATAAACAGATATATGAAAATTACAAAGATTTAGTTGATAATCCAATTTATTGAGATCAACTAAGAGCCAGATGTAAAAGGGTTCAAAAGAATGAAAATGTGAAAAATGATATAACTTCTAAAGTCAAGACTATTGAAAATAAAATGCTGTAGGAGTTTGATCTATAAAAAAATATTATGAAGACAACTTTACTGAACTCCAATTTGAAAACATATGTATGAATTGATAGGAGTGTACGATCAATTAAAATTTTGGATATAATTGTGACAAAGAAACTTGGAGAACAGAAATATTTTGTATTTCATTGCTGCTAAATAACAATTTATATGAGTAATCACGTGATAAACTGTTGCTATTTCAAGTAACTACTTTCATGAACCGTTTATTTGAATCTCTGCAATGATCAATAAATTTTCAATTATTGGATGAAAATTTATGGATGAATTAATTCAATTGTCCCCATAACAATGTATTAAATGCAACTTTGGAGCTATTTGATCTTTGTAACACAAATGATTCTTAAATCTGATGGTGATTTCATATATCAGGCCTCAATAGATCATTTGTGTCAAAGAAAGCGGATTTCAAGCAGCCCAAAAACACTATTTTCAAGATTTTCCCTAATGCTCTAAACCAAAATTTCCATTATTTACTTTAAAGGCTCAAATAAATGTACCATGACCGGTGATATTACAGAATTGGAAGTACGTATTTTTAATTACTTTATTCAATAAATTTTGACATTCAGATTTTCAATCGTGTGTATCTGTTAGATGTGAGAATTCCTTCCAGAGTGGTAGAGTACACGGGGAAAGTCAATTCCATGTGCTAACATGAGACTAGATCTTCTACACTTTGATAATCTCTATACTTTTACCTATTAGCCTTGATTTCAGTCCAATCGACAAAAAATGAGATTTCAATTGATGTGAGAAATTTAAAGATTTAATCTTGAATTGTTTTTAATTAATCAGTCATTGCATATATGTTCAATTTCTACTGTTCTCAAGTTGAAGATGGATTTTACTGCTATTAGTGGCCGTTAATCTGTGAATTACAATTCCTTCTTGTTTTCTACGTTAGTTGCATAAAAATCCTAGACCCCCTAAAATTATACACCAATAGAAACAAAATAGCACAAAAAATGACAAATTTTATTTTTAAGACCTTTTTTACAGAAATGAATATCAAAAGCAAGTATTTTATCATTATTTCTAGCTAAATCTAATGAATCAAGTTCATTGACACCATGAATAAATTTAATATAAAGACTTAGACCATAATAGCCAACCTCTATCCATTTTTTGCGGAAATCTTCACTTGAAGACCTCTGCTCAGGAAAAGAACCAGATTTTATCAATAGATGACCAGTCAGTGGCACTCCATAAACCTGACCAGCCTGTTGTAATCCAAAACAAAAATGATACACTCCAGTATTAAAAATAATGTTATTGGAAAATTCATAAATTAAATGACACAATATTTTCATTTTAAGATGCAAAAAAAAATATAGAAGGTTCGGCAAAAAAACAAACCTTCCTCTTTTGAGCACGAGATTCGTTGATAGCCCTAAGGCGTCTTCTTATCGCCTTTAAAAATGGAAACACAACAGAAGTTAGCCTAGAACATAGCTTTCGTCATAAATCGCTTTTCAAGCAGATCATTCAAAATTTTATAAAAGAAAAGCCACCATAGCAACGAGTGACATTAGATAGAAAATTCTCTAGGAAACCCTTCAAATGCGAAGATTGCAGGCTAATTAAAGCCCTTCATTATCAGGTAAAATTAGACTGTACCGCTACCAATTAGCTTCCTCAGGGCTCATGAGCATCAAATATTATAACTTGTGTGTCAATGTCTAAACTTCTAATTTATAATTAACTCTTTGTAGAAGATCTGAATAATAAAGCAAGAGATTTCATGCTGTAATGAGCTTAATCATAGTAACCAATCAAATCATTCATGAATCTAGAAACCAGTGATAAAAAAAATGCTCAGTTCAGCTAATAAGAAAGGTAGTTGTGTCTTGGTGTAGGTGGCGATGGAGGATGCAATAAAGGTTCAATTAAAATAAAATAGTTCCAAAATTTACCTCTTTACATTTCAAGATGAGTTCTGGTTTTGTGAAATAACTAGCTGTAGTAAGTACAATCTCACGAGCCTCCTGGAAGGTCAACTAGACAAATTAGGCCAACACGAAACCAAAAAAACTGTGCACCAAAACATATCATGATTTTGTAGGTAACTTAGATGATAACAGAATTAAAAGATGAATCATAGAAACAAAATAATTCAGGATAATGGAAGAAGAATTAATGACAAATTGCAGTTCCACAAGAATGCTGTAAGCTTAGATAAATGTCTTGCCTGAAAATTTTGTTAGCAATTCCTTCATTAAAATGCATGATTTCAAACTCAAAATTCACTAGCACCAAGATGCTTCCAGAGATACAATACATGACACCTTTTAATTACAGCATAGTGGTCATGCCTAAAGCTCAAGAGTCAGTTAGTAAAACTGGTTTTTGAATGTTGAAAACGAGCACATCTTTCTACCCGAAAAACATTTCATTAGAATAAAACAGGAACAAGGACATGAACAAAAAATTTCTACCCGCCAGAAACTTTTTACAGATGTAACAAATTTTCTGTAAATCGTCAGAAGCATATAAAATAGGTAAGTTAGTGAAGTGTTGCTTCTGATACACACAAAATGAGACAAGAACAAACAAATTCGAATTTTGATGTTTATAGAGGTAAATTAAAGGCTTTCAAAAAGTGACAAATATAAAATAATAATCCAAACATTAAAAGGACGAGAACAATATAAAACCAAAACTCATGAAAAAATGGCAACTTTAAAAATACGCAAGCACTTCCAAAAAAAAGAAAATACAAATTGGTTCAAATGTGTTATCAACTTATTAACTTACATACTACGCAAACCATAAAATGTTGCTAGACAAATAGAGAACTTTTTGATAAGCTGATACCGGAACAAGTAGGAAGAACAGTGAAACACAAAAGTAAATTTTATTAATGTGGAAATAGGATTACAACACGACTCAAATAAAAAGGAAATACAATAATAGGCGAATCCCCCAGTTAGGATGTAATAAGTTTCTGAAGGCGATGGTGGCGTCGGGCAACATGGAAGATGTCGGGGGGTTGTTTGGATAGTTGTGATGGTGTTTGGATGGTGGTAGGTAGGTAGGGAAGCGAGGTTGTAGGGGAAATATGAGTGGTGGTAGAGTCTTGGAGATGTTTGAGGGTGGTAGACAACTAGGGGAAAGGTCAAAAAAGGGGTCGGTGAGAAAAAGCAAAGGAAACTGAATGTTTACAACACCACGTCAAAGCAGATACTGCCAAAGCACCACATGTCCTCGGACACAAGCCCTAACAAGAGAGAAGAGACTCCACACAGAAGATTAGAAAATAACTCCACTAGAACTGCCTCCTACAGACAGGGGACAACTATTTATAGGCTTCTACCTCTACACAAAAGGAAGAAAGGTAGAAAAGACAAGAAGAATCGACAAAAAACACTTAGAAGAAGACAGATTCCATAGACTCACGAGACAGCCCAAATATCGGATCACAAAAGTTCGCGGTCTCCCCCGACTTCGCGTGTCATCGCGAGCTCCTTCAAAGTATCGCAGTTTTTGCCCGCAAAGTATCACAGTTCTAGACCGTGGGATCGCGGCTCACAATCTTCCAAGAGGGTTCGCAGGTTCTCGCTCACTGTCGCAGGGTTCTGGCCTAGCAGGATTGCCCCGCTTCGAGGGGTACCCAGCCCCCACTTCATAGGCCTTCATTAGGTAATATGTAACCTGCATTGCCTTTTAGGAAGCTTTCACAGAAAAACAAAAATCAATCCTACGAAACTCAACCTTTAGCACATCTACAACTGTAATGAATTACAACAATGGAGACTAATAGTGAGTAGCTTGAAAGGCTTTATAACAATGAAGAGTATGATTGTGAAATTGCGTATCAGTTTCTGTTAGACCAGATATACATTATTTCATGCAGCATGCAATAGAATTAACAAAAGAATCCCATACCAAATAGTAGTAAAGAGTTGAGAAATAAAAAATTTGGACTAAAAATCCAATATGATAGACCATCAATGCAAGTGATGACAGAGGACAGCATTTAATTGAAGGGAATTCGGCAATCCATACAGTGATTTAGTTTGAAGGCCTACTTGATAAAGAATTGGCAATTATACTGGCATTAATGAAAATTGATCAAGAGCATCAATATCTACACTGATTGTCCAAGAGGTTACCCATGAATCTTTTGCACGCAAGAAGATTTATACTAACCAGGAGAGTATGAGGAAATTGCAATCATCACAGCCTTGAAACATTCAAGCGCACACAGCTCATATGAAAAGAAAAATTATATGCAAAAGTTACGAGGGGAAAAAGTAGTGAATAACAGCAAAATTTGGATACAATTGTTTAAACCCCCTCCACCCCAAAAAATTGAAGAAACATTGATATAATGATGCCTCAAATTCTAATAAATCTATAGGGTTGATGGTAACAGACTTGGACACCAATTGTAATCACAATATGTCCATCAGGACGCAGCAACAGACGTCAATCAGCATTGATGTTGGAAGTCTAGGCAACATTGAAATGTGTAAACCCCATCCACCCTGAAGAATAGAAAAAACATTGATACAATGATTCCTCAAATACTAATATATTTATAGGGATGATTATAGCAGACTTGGACACCAATTGTAATAACAATGTGTCAATAAAAATGCAATAACAGGCGTTAATCAGCATTGATGTTGGAAGTCTAGGCTGCATTGAAATGTTGGACTCCGTGGTGGCACTTATGACGATGACGATGTTACAAAACCCAAGGGTAATAATACTAGTAATTCTAAGAGAGCTGATTGTAGCAAGTTTAAAGGCGATAGCTGCAATAGGCTTGAATTTGTCAACTACAAGACCTAAGGGTGGTCCTTGTGAGAAGCCCAGAGGCGGTGACAATAGCAAGCATGAAAGTAGTAGACCTGAAAGTGACAACTATGTTGAACATAAAATAAGTGATTGCAGCATAATTAGGTTTACTTGCAGGAGAAACCAAAAAAATGCAAATAATGGCAAACCCAGGATTTTCATTGTGACAAAACTAAGAATCGAAGTAGCAGATGGCCATAAATAGCGGCTAGTAAAACCTAAAGGTGGTTGCAACAACAAGCCCTAAAGTTATGGTCTACAAACAATAATCATACCAAGAGAATAACATTAGTAAATGTAGTTTCTTGCAGGCCATCTGATAAATTGCACAAAAAGAAATTTTTCACTATATTCTTCAGTCAGACATTGAATGAAATATCCTATATCCTCCTACCCTCATAAAGCTATTCAACCTATTATAAGCCTTTCCAGTCCTTCATTTCGACAGAATAATGCACATCAATCTGTTGTTAAACAAGACCTAAAAGAACTCCCAACAACACAAGCTCTCGTCATGCCAAGAGCATTTCAAGAGTAAATGTAGTTTCTTGAAGGCTATCTGATAAATTGCCAAATATTAAAAGAACCAGAATTTCACCAGAAAGAGTGAGCATAAAGAAGATGTGCAACGCTCATCAAATTAGAACCATGAAGAAAGAAAATCATAGAATGGGATAAAACATACCTCAATTCCCTCAACAGTCTCCTTGTAGCCAGATTGCAGGTATTCTTTTGTTAGTGTCTCTTCTGGGCAATTAGGAGTCTGGGGATAGAGGTCAGGTGGCCCGAGTCTAAATAAAAATGTAGAACTTTGAGAGGGATGCAAGTAAAGAATTATTATACAACCACATACACACACACACATTACATGATAAAAGAAACTTCAGATATTCTTTAAGAGAATTTCAAAGCGAGATTCATAGTAGAAAACTAGGGGCAATGGAATTTCAAATTATATGAAAAGAAAATAATAATTCAACCGCATTAAGCATATGATGCTTAGAAGTTCAATCCATTTTGTTTGCCCAATTTTACAATTTGATCCATCAATTATAAATCACATAAGAGCTATAGACATAAATTAACACACTACTTCACATTAGCAAATTCAGTTCATCGCTACTTGATTGCAATCGTACACCCCTCCAACTTAAACACCAACTCATCTTCAATTGTCTCTAGTGCAGCATCTATTTCAAATTTTAGCAGGCAGCCAATCAGCCAAGTTGCTCTAAATCCAAAAGAAAAAATAAGAAGCTACCATTCACCCTCATAACCAAACCGTAACCCATTTTGGAATAGATTGAGGTGGAATGTAAGACAGACAGACTGCATAAGAAATTTAGAATTTGTTGGGGATAGATCAGAGAAAGAGGGAAGGAATAGAGCAACTTGGGTGGGATCAAAGGAAAATAAAAGTGGAAGGACGAATAGCCATGTTATAAAAAGTTAACTTCCATTTCATGCTCAAACTTTTATGTATTATTGAATATGAATATATATATACATACATACATACATACATACATACATACATACATACATACATACATACATACATACATACATACATACATATCTATATTGGGTGTATGTATATATGAATATTGAATATGAATATTGGGTGGGATGCATGCATGCATGCATGCATGCATGCATGTATGTATATGTATGTATGTATGTATGTATGTATGTATGTATGTATGTATGTATGTATGTATGTATGTATGTATGTATGTATGTATGTATGTATGTATGTATGCATGTATGTATGCATGCATGTATGTATGCATGTATGCATGTATGTATGTATGTATGCATGCATGCATGCATGCATGGATGCATGCATGCATGCATGCATGCATGCATGCATGTATGTATGTATGTATGTATGTATATAGATATATATATATAGAGATACATATATATATATATGTATGTATGTATATGTATGCATGTATGTATGTGTATGTATGTATATACATACATACATACACATACATACATACAAATTGCATATGATTATATAGTGTTAAAATAATATTAAATATTATATATAAGCACACATGTTATTATGACAAATAAATATTAATATAGAAGTGTCCGAATTTTATGGGGGCATACAACTCCCCACAAATGCGGGATTTGTATCCGGGTTAGCATACATATTTAATCACTAAAATAAAGCTGCAAGTCCCTGAAAGAAACTCAGCTTCATTAATACAAGTCATAATTAATTGGTAAATATCAGTAAAGATTACCTGAAATTAAGAGGTTCCCTATCAATTTTAAGCTTGTATGGATGCAAGGGCTGTGGCCGCCTACAAGTTACAGTATTCAAGAAAATAAAAATGAACAATCATGATGGAATTCTCCTTAAAAAAATAAATAAAGAGAAATGTAGCTTCTTTAAATAAAAATAAAAAGCATCAGGTGCTCATGACAAAACCTGAAAAAAAAAATACTCGTTATAGAAATAACTTAATATTATAGCATCTAAAATACAGTCGAAACTGAAGTTCTTCATTCACTTCCTCTTTTTCCTAGAAATTTTCTTATCATCAGTTATGCATGATAAAGACATTCATCAGCATTTTTCAAGTAATATTATGTGAGTCCTCAATCCTATAATATGCACAAATGAAAGAATAAGATAAGACATTCATCAGCATTTTTCGAGTTTATGTGAGGCCTCAACCCTGTAATATGCACAAATGAAAGAATAAACCTCAGTATCTGAGAAATTTAAATAATGGAACAGTTTGAATGACACGTGAAATCCATAAATTAATATGTCTACATGTATATTTGACCTTAACCGTATGAAGAAACTTTGTTTAGATTGCTGAATTCTACTTAGAAAAAACTTATATTACATTTTGCCCTAGTTTTCATAAAAGAAGAAACTATAAACTCAGAAAATGCCAAAGAGTATGACAAACTGTCCTTGCTATTGCATGGATACCAGATTGAATGCTCCTAAAATTGCTAGCTTGAACAAACAAAAGTAAAATTGTAGATATTTGAATCAGAATTCTTCAAATTAATTGTTTCCAATTATAAAAAACAATATACAAAAAACATAATTTCAATGGAATGTTTGAACATACTCATACCCAAATCAGTGCGTATCATTCACTATTTGTTAAAAATAACTGGTCATGAGTAATATCCATATGTATGGATTTTTATACGTGTGGATGCTGAGTAGTAGACTTAAATTTAAAATATTGATGAGTACTATCAAAAAATGAAGAGAGGGCAAAGATATAGCATAACCAATACCAAGTAGAAGATAAGTTGTAAAAGCCCCAAATTTGCACATAATTTTTAAATTTGATCCTCAGGAATTTATTTTGTAATTCTACGGTATCAGCTATTTTCTTTCTATGGCAAAAATCTAACAAAAAAATTTGGATCATAAAAGTTGAGAGCTAGTGTCATATTTTCATTTAGTTCTAATAAATTAAGATAAGTTTTTATACAATAAGCACAATTCTTCCTTAGTCTACCTCTACCTTTCTTAACATAAATCGAATCTAAAACATCAACTCTCCTAATCGGATCATCAAATGGTCAACGCTTAACGTGACCAACCAATCTAAGACGGCTTTCTCTAATTTTGTCCGTCACAAGAGCTTATACACAAATATTTTTCAGAGAAGCAGCTCATACACAAAATGACCGGGCTAAGATGCGTCCAAGAAGGGCTTCAACATAAGGATACAATGTAGCTCTCCCTTCCACATTGTGGCTTATTAATTATCTTCCATTCTGGTACAAAATAGCTCAACATTTCTTACAACCAGTTCCATTATAACTATGTTGCATGCTCAAAGAGATTTCAGGAAACCCAAATGCAGACACAGCAAAGGACAACATGATTTGTATGTTCCCAATTCAATTGCAAAGGTCCATGATTTGTATGAATCCGTATATTGATTGCCCAACTTCAAGCAATTAGAGATCCTATGGTAAAAGATTATCCCTCAGGCAATCAGAAAAAGTAATGTCAATGACTAGAATGAAATTGCAACAAAAACAACAAGGGCGATGGAGTCGCCAAATAAAGTGGATAGCAGCAAATCCAAGTAATGTTGGCAATGATTGTAATTTGTTATCTCTCCTAGTTCTAAGCATCGCCAAGTTCAACATTGTTAACAGAGTGATTCAAGCACCAAGCCCTAGGATGTGAGGATGACACATCTTCGCCATCTTAACGCAGAAGGTAACGGCAGAGTACATGTCTCATTCCACTTGAGAGCAAAAGAGCTCAGACAAAGTGCCTATTTGTTTCGTGTTTTTGGGCGGTTCTTGGGTTCAGCACACACCCAATTGAGTTTTCAATTTAATATAATAGAATAAAAGTGAATAAAACTCAGAATTATTCGCTTAGGGGTAGCAATGCCAGTAGACAAATAGCTTGTGGCTTGTCGCTCCATCTTGATTTCTCCTACATGCAAGAAAAGCACAGCAGCACTCAACTCCATTGATCTCTCCTCGACACACCATTGGTCTCTGTTCCACACAGCCAGCAACCAGCTTCGACCGCCTCATTTCCGTTTCCAGTCTCTCCTTGAAACTCAGATAAACACATCTATGGTTTCTCCAATACAAGCATCTTTACATCCAACCTTCTCGCCAGGTCAATACTTGCACTGGTGCACTTTTCGGTCCTCTCAACCATCACTTGAACATAATACTGTATATTTATGATAGATATTAAAATTTTTATTCTTTATTTTTTTTATTATATCTATGTTAGAAAAAAAATGTTATCAAATTAAATTAAAATACTTAATTTCTATTTAGTATTTTTGTTGAGAATTAAAAAATTTGAAGTGTCCCTTATATAGTTTGATATAATTTTTTCAATTTTTTCTATGAGGATCCTAGATATGATTGATTCTAATGCAAGGAAGGTTCTAACTTAAAGGTACATAGACTTCAAATCCAAGTCAATTAGCCTTTGCCGCTTATGTAATTACTTTCTTAAAGAGACCAGTGAAGGCACATCTCATACAAAGCAGCGTTAATTAGCCTTTTGGAACATCAAAAAGAAGTAATATGACCAAATACAAAAAGATTCTTTCAAATTAGAAGGCAACTTGCTTATCAACAAGGAATGAAAAAATAAAACAAATAATGATGGTATGATAGAGACTAGTGAAGAATCAAAAATTCAAGTATGTTTGAGGATCGAGAAAATATATCATTGGAATTAAGTTCTAAAATGTCAAGTATTAAAGCATCCTGCATTGGTTTAAAACATGCATAAGCATAAGTGAAGGAAAGCGATCATTCTCACAATTGAATTTTATCACGATATAACCCATGCTTTGAACGTTGCAAGCTCATTAGAGAAAGTGTTGAGGATAGTCGATGGAGACAAGAGACAAGCCATAATTTATAATTATTAGACAACAGAAAAAGTGAAGGATAAAATTTATGGTGCATTTGAACGAAATAAAAAAAAAGTATGAGCAAGCCTTACATCATTAAAAAAATATGAAGAAAAAAATATGGGAGAAAATATTCACTTAATTCTCTTTACCGATCTTTAACCATAAGACTACATATAAAGGGAAGCCGGTTTCTCCTAATTTACAATTTTACCAAATATATTTAGCCTAAACATAGAAAGAAAACAACTATGAAATAAACATAAATAGAGAAAAAATAAAAACTAATCAAGGAGTTTCCCAAATTGTCTCAAATTAATCCATTAATCGCTCCTTGAAAGGTCGGCCTAGGCCCCAAATTTTCTCCAATTAATTCATCCATCGCTCCTAGGATGATCGGCCTAAGCCCCCATGGAAAGGAGGCTATTCCTCTTAGATTTTCACACTCCACCTCAAGCTATGTCATAGACGTTGTAAAGAGCAAGCTTGGTATTAAACACTAAGAAGTTTCTTAAAGGAAGAGCTTGGGTGAAGATATCAGCAACTTGGTGTGTCGGGATATAACTAAACTATATAATTCCACCATTTACTTTTTCAGAGAAAAAATATCAATTAATTTCATTATGTTTGGTCTTGTCATAATGCACAAGATTCTTGGCAATAATTATAATTGATTAACTGTCGAAAACATTTATATAAGCCTATTAGAGGTACAATCCAATTCTATCGACAATTTTTGAATCAAGATCCCTTCACAGATTCCTAAAGCGAGTGCACTATAATATGATTTTACAATGTTTCTAGAGAACAGTTTGCTTCTTACCATTCCATGTGACCAAATTTTCCCATGCATATAAATAACAACTTTTGGTCGACCTTCTGTCAATGAGTTCCTCGGCACAAACTGCATCGGTCTAGACTTCACTCTATTTCTAATTCTTTCAAAAGTTAATCCATAACCAGGAGTCTGCTTAAGAAACCTCAAAATCTTTTTCACCATCACCAAATACTTTTTATATGAGCTATTCATGTGTTCGCTCACAATATTGACAGATAATGCAATATCTAGTCTAGTATGTAACAAGTAGATGAAATTTCCTACCAGTCTTCGATATATTCCCTTATCCATGGATATACTTTATTCTCCCCTGTTAGACTTCTTATTGGAATTCATTGGAGTATGAGCAGGTTTGCATCCAATCACCTTGTCTGCTTTAGCAATTCAAGAAAGTATTTCCTCTGAGATATAATAGTACCTTTCTTGGACCTTGCTACCTCCATTCCTAGGAAATATCTCATGCTTCCTAGGTATTTGACTTTTAAACTCAGTGGCAAGCAATTCTTTGATTTTAAGAATTTCTCTTTCATCATCATATTAAGAATCATATCATCCATATTTACTATCAACACATCAATCCTTTTAGTGTCTTTTATGAACGGTGTATGATCAGTTTAACCTTGGGAATATTTATTAGATCTCATAATTTTAGCAAACCTTTTAAACCATGCCCTTGGTGATTGTTTAAGATCATAGAGAGACTTCCTGAATTTACATATTACAAGTTTGTGAGGCTACAAATCCTAATGGTATCTCTATATACACTTTTCAAGATCCTGATTCAAGAAAGCAATTTTTATGTCAAATTAATGTAGTTCTCACTCCTTGTTAACTGCTACTGAGAAAACTCCAATATTGTTTAATTTCGCAATTGGTGTAAAAGTCTCTTAATAGTCAATCCCATAGGCTTGAGTGCAATCTTTTGCAGCAACTCTACTTTTAAATCTCTCAATATCACCATTAACTTTGTACTTGATGTTGAATAACCTTATCCTAAAGAAGATTAGTAAGAATCTGTGTCATTATGCTTTAGCGCTTGAATCTACTAGTCAATTGCTTTCCTATATTATAGATTTTTAAG